TTCACATCACCTACTGTCAGATCCTTTAAGGCTCGAGGTGAGCAGAGGTGGTTTGCCCTTGCCTGCCTCTGCATAGAGACCCTGGACTTCCTTGATGGTCTCCTACTCAAGAACTAACCAGGGCCAGCCCTGCCTAGTATTTGAGCTCTGACGAGATCAGGCTAGCTTACACCCTTCCAGGTGAGGGCAAGAGGTAGGGGTCTGAAAAGTAAACTGCCCTGGCTGCCAATAGGATACTGAATTCATTTCATAGAATCATCGCATGTTAGAGTTGGAAGGGACCTTGCAGGTCATCCAGTCCAACCCCCTGCACTCTGCAGGAGCAGAGCCGAAAGATAGCCCTACAACATACCCAAAAGATGGTCGCCCAGCCTCCGCTTGAAAACGTCCAGGGGGGCGGGGCACATGATGAAGCCCCGCCCCCTGCTTCCGCCCGCCTCGCTTCCAGCCCTCATTCAGCCAGGAGGAGGCAGGAGAAGAGGGAGGGTAAGTTGCTTCCTCTCCGCCTCTCCCCACCCCTGCCTGCCTGGGGCCAGGGAGGGCCTTGGCGGGGCTTCTTCGCACTCCCGCTGGCCTTGCAGGTCCACCGCCGGGCCCCTGATGTCAGGGGGTGTGGCATATGCTAATGAGTTATGCTAATGAGTTCCCCTAGCTCTTTTTCTACGAAATGACCCCTGCTTTCAACTAAGGAGCCGCTGCCACTATTACCACCAACAATCCTAATTGCAGAGTCCTTTCCCTTGGCTTTGACATCTACAGCCTGTGCCGCCGCTCATATCAGGAAGATCATTGAGCAGAACATTTAGTTAGACCTTGGTATACACTCACACAGTACGCCATCGTTAAGGAATTAATTAATCATCGCCAGCACTTTACGATGCTGAACTGTTTATAATTGAACTGTTTTTTTTATTTTATGTGGATTTTAATTGTTATTTATGTATCAAATTGTGTAAGCTGCCCTGAGTCTGCCTTCGCAGGGAGGGCGGGGTATAAATTAAATAAATAGATACATTTAGGCCCTAACCTGGGAAGACTGGTTTGGGGGTTTGTTTTTTTGTATCCTGGGTTGACAGAAGGAGAAAAGGTTTTAATGTGAGTTACACATAGAGATGTAAAATTTCCGGAAATTTTGAAGCGCGGAAAAAAACCCCGTTTCCCCCCCATTTCCCCCCAGGAAAAAAATGGAAATTTTTGGAAAAATTGAAAAAAATGCTATATTAGCATTTATTTTGTCTTTTCTAGATTGAAAGTCATTCTGTTACTTTAGGAACATAAAATATGACTATGGACATTTTTACTTGGCATGAAATTATCACAACTAGCATATTAAAAATGTAGTGTATGCAAACAATTATTACAAACAGAATACCCACCCACATGCAAAAACAAAACTGAAACCTTTTTCTTTTCTCATGACAACAGAACCTCCTAAAGGAAGAAATGCATCTTGTTCTTGCATTGGAGAGTTCAGTTTGTAACCTAGGACTTGCTTGTCCTCAGTGCACAGAAATTAGATCAATCTGACACCATATATATATGTATATATTTGAGAAATGATTTGGAAAATATTTGAACACCTTGTCTTAAAATATTTTATTCATCATGTTAAAATAAAACGTTCCATAGTCAATTTTTTTCTTTTTTTTCCAATTTTTTTTTTGGGGGGGGGGAAGGCTTCAGGGAAAAACGGGAAAAAACTGTTTTTTTTCTGAATTTTTCCGGACCTTCACATCTCTAGTTACACAATTGGGTGACGCTGAGGGGCCAGACCCACCCTGTGAAAACGAAGTACACAAGAACGAAAAAGGCTGGTGCACCCACAAAAGCACCCGAGCGTTGTCTGGAATGGCTTTCATTTCCTTTGCCAGCGTTCAGTGTAACAGGCATGTTCCTAACTTTGATAAAAGCATGACTCAGATCATCATCTTTAATAAAATAATCTTTTGGTAATTATATTTTTGATCTGTTTTCCTCTATCCCTTCCCTCATATCTGTAAAATTGCCCTCATAACAGCGGTTTTTGGGGAGAATTAAATTTTTGATCTGTTTTCCTCTATCCCTTCCCCATCCCTTCTTTTTTTCTGTATCCCTTATAATATAATAATTTTTTTTTAAGCATCTAAATAAGCAATTTGCTATCTGTGTGCACAAAGTAATTTTTAAACCTAGTACATAAACAGGGCGTGTTCTTTCCCATGAGTGCAAAAAACTGATATAGTATTACTTTCAAACATGGGTCATTTCGTAGAAAAAGAGGTGCAGGAGCTCATTAGCATAACTCATTAGCATAACTTATTTGCATATGTCACACACCCCTGACATCACCGGAAGTGTGTCAGAAGGCAACACCCACCGCTCAGGCTCCACTGGACTGTTCTGGATTCCTAGCTATTGGTGGGAGGGGGGAACGTGCAGATCTGCCCTCCCAGAGGAGGAAGAGCTTGTACCTGAATAAACCTTGGTCTTAAAGGTGCCACTGGACTGTTTTGGACCGGGGGGTCGGCGGGGGGGGGGTGGGAGCTCTGCAACATACCTGGCTGCTTCTTGCTCTGACTGAGGGCTGCTGGGAGCAGGGGGTGGGGCTTGTTGCATGTGCCCGCCCCCTGGGCTCTTTACTGCCGGAGCTCCGCTCCGGTGCGCTCCTGCAGGAAATGACCCCTGCTTTCAAATAAAAATATAATCATGTTTGTTGATTTAGTGATTGCAGCTTTCAGTTTGGAAAGATACTCCTATCAATTAGTACTTCCATATTACATCCCAACCCCGTTTTCTTGAAGCACAAGTTTCCCAGTTGTACGAATCCTTCCTGAAGATCCTCTCCCTTTCTAGCAAGGCCGAGGAGACAGGCCCCCCTACACAATTTGGTATGCCCTCACCTCAAATATTTCTCCAATAAAAAACCAAGTGTCTTTTTTTTTTTTAGGTTGGGCCACTTGGGAAAGGTTGACCATAACCCAGGATATATTTTTATTGCAGACAAGGGAAAATCCGTTGAAAACCATTCTTGAAATTATGACTAGGTATTTCCTGGAGGAGACCATCAGCCTCCAAGGTACTAGAAGTCCAGCCGTTCCACAGAACAAGAACTCTCAGCTTAGAGGTTCAGAGACCACTGTACTCAAGAGTTCCGTCTCCGATGGAAACAACGGTCTTCAAACGGTGCCTCAAACAAACCAGACTGAGCACTACAGGTAACTAAATCCACCTCAGCCTCGAAGCTTTCTTGAAATCAATATTTAATCTACAACCAGGGCTTTTTTTGTAGAAAAAGCCCAGCAGGAACTCATTAGCGTAATAGGCCATACGCAACAGCACCCCTAATTGTAGCCAATCCGAATGAGTTTCTGCTGTTGGGTGTGGCCTATTATGCTAATGAGTTCCTGCTGGGCGTGGCCAACTTGGGAGCTAGCCGGAACTCCGTTCCTGTGCGTTCCTGCCCAAAAATAGCCCTGTCTACAACTACTTGTTTTGAGATGCAATAGGAACAGTGGCCTGAGGATAACATAGCTTGACTTGTATACCCATAAACCTCTTACAGGTTTATCTCGGAAAAACAATCTCAGACATGTATGTATTAGTGTGATATAAGTTTAGTCCTTATCTAGAATCACGAGATAAACCATCAGCCCTTTCATGAAGTATTGGCAAGAGAGTTAGGGTTTTCTCTTAAAAAGCAAATCAGTCACATAGTAGTATGGAGTAGGGTTGCCAAATCGACTCACCCCTCGGAGCGGGGGAGCCTTGCCGGCATCCGGGAGGTTGCGCCGGCGCGCGCGCCGGCAGCACATCACCAGAAGTTACCTGCGACGTTGCTGACATTGGGGGCATGGCCGGGCTCGTCGGGGGGAAAACCATATATATCTCGGAGTCCAGCTTACCTGAGGGACCGCCTTTCCTCATACGTTCCCCAGCGAGCACTATGGTCTGGGGCGCAACATCTTTTGGCGATGCCAGGCCCCAAAGAGGCCAGGCTGGCTGCTACCAGGGCCAGGGCTTTCTCGGTGGCGGCTCCTACCTGGTGGAATGAGCGGGCTCTGCGGGACCTTGCACAATTCCGCAGGGCCTGTAAGACGGAGCTCTTCCGCCAGGCGCCGTAGCTCTGCTGCCAGGCGTATGAGTAGAAGCCGCCACTACCATCATTATTGTTCCATCATAGCCTGGCCCTGGAATAAGGAACATCAGCGTTCTCCGAAGCAGATGACGCTGAACTGGCAGAGCAGCTGTAATCTGCCATCTTGGAAACTATCATGTGAGAACAACTAGAGCACTTTATTAATAATAATGTTATTGTATTGTTGTTATTTTAAATGGTTTTAACTATGTTTTATATTGCTGTATGCCTCTGTGACAACCTCTTCTCTGGGGAGGTCTGGTTTTACTTTAAAACCGTTCTTTATATTTTGCTCTACTGGGTAATCTGGCTGCCACCAGGAAATTTTAGGCTTTCCAAACCTTTATACTTTCTTCTTCTGGTTTTGGTATTGTGACCCAGGGTCTGGGCTTTCGAGGAACTATGTGTTTCCTGAGGAAAAATGGATCAGGCTTCTGGGGTAAACTTAAATAAAAAGGATTTATTTGAAGAACAGAGTAAGAAGTTGTGTAAACTGTAACTGTTTTGGAAATAGGTATTTGTAAGTACTTTAGGTCAACTGTATCACACTCTTTGTAACTTTGACTCTTTTTAAGAACTGTAGATTCACTTTACAGATATAAGCTCCTTTCTCTCTCACACTGTCATGGCACAGCACTTTCAGTTATCTCTCAGGGATTTATGCATATACTTTGTAACACTCTTGCATATAATGAACTAATTCGTCCTACACAGGGATGGATCTCTCCTCTCTTACACAGAACTTAACCGTCTGCTTAACACAGAGACTTTTACTCTTATATTCCACATAGGAAAGCTTCTCTCACAGAGACCTCCGGACAAAACTGCTTAACTAACTTCCACTGTCTGCATCAACAGTCATATCTCCTAACAGACACTCCTGATAGACATTCAAATCATCCACACAGCATCCATTCCAACCCCCCCCCTCTCTGTCACTCACCAATCATATCACTTGCCTGTTTCCAGCACTCTAGAGTATCATCACAGCCATACCAACCAAACCTTTAAAGACACACACACAAATAAAAAAAAGACACACACACAAGTAGCGGGGAGGGCGGGGTATAAATTGAACCTATAAATAAAATAAATAAATATATTTTTTAAAAAATAATTGTGCTGTTCGCAGCTGTGAGATTGATGAGGAGACGGCCGGCCCGACCTTCCTCTCCTGGAGACCTCCAGTGGAGAACGAGAAAGGCAAGGCCAGGCAGGCGTTTGAGAGTTCACCAGCCGAAGGAGAGAAAAGGCTTCAAAGCAGCAGAGAGGAGCTAAGGATTCCGGACCTGTCTTCGGAGGCCAGGACGGCCATGAGAGAGAAACTCCGGACCAAGCCCGGCCTCATCATCCGGGGCATGATGGCTGGGCCGACGGCCAGTTTCCAAGAGGTTCTTTGCTTTGATCCTAAATATTTGACCTCCGGCTATTTTTTGTTGATTGTTTCCCGAATAGGGTTGGCCACCTCCAGGTGGGGCCTGGAGAGCTCCCAGAATCACCACTGATCTCTGAACAACAGAGATCAGTTCCCCTGGAGAGAATGGCCGCTTTAATGCCACTGGCTCACAAAGTAGAATTTTTGCTCACAAGACTCCACAGCTTAGAGGAAAGTGTTCCCTCTAAGCTGAGTTAGTGTGAGCTAGCTCACAGTTTTTTAGCCTCCGGCTCACACATTTTTGTCTTAGCTCAGGAAGGAGGGCTCCAAGGTAATTTATGCAGTAGCCAATTGCTTACTCACAACTTTAATGCCAGCAGCTCACAAAGCAGAATTTTTGCTCACTAGACTCCACAGCTTAGAGAGAGCATTGGTGGACTCTATGGCGTTTTACACCCCCTGAAGCCCCTCCCCTCCCTAAAGTCCACCCCCCCCAGATTCCACCCTCCCAATTCCCTTGAATTTCCCAATAAAGACCTGGCAACCCTAGTTGCCAACCTCCAGGTGAGGCCTGGAGATAACCTGGGGTTACAATTCATCTCCAGATGACCAAAATCAGTTCCCTTAGGAAAAAAAAAATGGTGGCTTTGGAGGGTGGACTCTATGGGATTTTACCTTGCTGAGGCCCCTCGCCTCCCTAAACCCCAATTTCCACAAATTTCAACCCCCTCAAATCTCCAGGAAATTCCTGGAGTTGGCAAGCCCGTTCCCTAAAACGGGTCACTCAACCTCATAGCATGCCATACTTTCTTCTACTTACCACTGATTATATATTTCAAACATTTATTATTCGCCTTTCTTCCTTGCGGCACTCAAAGTGTCTTTTAATATTCCAGGTGCCTTACAATATTCTTTCCTTATGAGGGAAGGGTATCATTTGGGGCTTTTTAGCTTAGAAAAACAGGATTAAGGGGGGATATGCTCTATAGATGTGAAGAAAATTATGTGTGGTTGTAAGGTTACCAACCTCCAGGTGGTGGCTGGTGATCTCCTGGGATTACAACCAGGGGTCATTTCCTGCAGGAGCGCACAGGAGGGGAGCTCTGGCAGTAAAGAGCCCAGGGGGCGGGCACGTGCAACAAGCCGCTCTAAGACGCCTTCAGGTAGTGAGGGGTGGGGTAAAAATCCAATCTCTCCTCCTCCTCCTCCTCCACTTCCTCCTCTTCTTCTTCTTCTTCCTCTTCCTCCTCTTCTTCCTCCTCTTCTTCCTCCTCCTCCTCCTCCTCCTCCTTCTTCTTCTTCTTCTTCTTCCAATTCATGGAACGTAGCTGTTAGCCAAATGGGTAAATGGAACCTCAGTGCTCTGAGGTAGTATATCTCTGAAGGGTAGTTACCGCGGAAAATTTTAGCCTCTTCCTATATTTGGGTGGGGATGGTGGTGGTTGCCTACTGCGCGAAAGAGAATGCTGGACTAGATGGACCCTTGGTCTGATCCATCATAAGTCTCCTTAGGTTCTTAAAGCCAGGACAAATCTCTGAGGAATTTCACAGACACCGCCACAGGACTCTGTCTAGGGTTGCCCTGTAAAAGAGGTAGACAGACTGGAGTATCACCAGAGAATGCTGAAGTATTACCACAGCCTGGTTGTGGTCTGCGAGAATTTGTCTGCAAAGTACACAGTCTTTGTCCGTAACATACTTGCTGTTATACTTAAACCCAGGGGTCATTTTGTAAAAAAAGAGGAGCAGGAGCTCATTAACATAACTTATTTGCATATGCCACTTCCCCTGACATCACCGGAAGCGTGTCAGAAGGCAACACCCACCACTCAGGCTCCAGTGGACTGTTTAGGATTGCTAGCTATTGGGGGGGGGGACGTGCAGATCTGTCCTCACAGAGGAGGGAGAGCTTGTACCTGAATAAACCTTGGCCTTAAAGGTGCTACTACTAGACTGTCTTGGACCGGGGGGCCGGGGGAAGCTCTGCAACTTACCTGGCTGCTTCTTGCTCTGACTGAGGGCTGCTGGGAGCAGGGGGTGGGGCTTGTTGTATGTGCCTGCCTCCTGGGCTCTTTACTGCCGGAGCTCCGCTCCTGTGCGCTCCTGCGGGAAATGACCCCTGCTTAAACCTTTGGGAGTGTTTGCTTAATGTTGGCATGCATTTTGGACCACCATCCATATTCTCTCTGGACAATGTCTTTTAGGATTCTTTGAAAAGAAGGCATCTGAAACGACCCTCTGGAATCAGTAACACAGCCCAGCTCCGAGAGGAAGACAATGCAAAGAGCTCTCTTGGCCTGCCGAGTGAGGATCTCCAGGAGACCAAAGGATCTGCCAGACAATCCTCGAGTCTCCGCTCTTTACACTCTGGCGCTTCTCTGGATGTAGAGAAGGAGCATTCCTCCAAGATGGTGTTCGGTCCCCACGCCGGCAGGACGGACGGGAAAGTCGAAACCTCCGTCCAGGATGAAAACAACCTGCTCGGAAGGTGGACGTCAGGCAGACCCCAAGATGAAGTCCGAAAATCTGCATCCAGTCGCGATGTGGAGGCGAACGAGAAAAGCTACCGGCTCAACTGTTTCCAGAGGCCCCTGGGAGACAGAAGTGAGAAAAAAGCGATGTCGCTCAGAAAGAGCGAAACTCGGTTTTCGGACAACAGGTAGGACCGTGACGGACGTTTTCTGAAATAACTCTTATGTGGTATTTGTATGGAATGCTGCTGGTTAGAGGTCTTCATCCCTGCCCCAAGAAACCTACAATCTCAGCTAAGTCTCGAATAGAACCGTGGTCTTCAATCACAATTCATGACCAGTATTCCCTCTAAGATGAATTAGTGTGAGCTAGCCCACAGCTCATTAGCCTCCGGCTCAGACATTTTTGTCTCCGCTCAGGAAGGAGGGCTCCAGGGCAAACTAATTTATGCGGCAGCCAAATTGCTCGCTCACCACTTTAATGCCAGTAGCTCACAAAAGTAGGATTTTTGCTCACAGGACTCCACAGCTTGTACCTCTGGGCGGTCTGAAAATTGTTTAACTGCTTATATTTAAATTATCGTTACCTCTATATTTGCTTACTGTCTGTACGGATAATTTGATGTATGACAATAGAGGCTTTTTGTATTAGTATTCCCTCTAAGATGAATTAGTGTGAGCTAGCCCACAGCTCATTAGCCTCCGGCTCAGACATTTTTGTCTCCGCTCAGGAAGGAGGGCTCCAGGGCAAACTAATTTATGCGGCAGCCAAATTGCTCGCTCACCACTTTAATGCCAGTAGCTCACAAAAGTAGGATTTTTGCTCACAGGACTCCACTCCTTAGACCTCTGGGCGGTCACATGGTCTCTCCTACTGGGTCACAGCCAGCCCCCCATTTGAAGCAGGGTATCCACTAACCCCAGCCCCTCTCTTTCGGCACTACTGGGTGGTAAGGAGAGCATTTTTTGTCGATTGTAAAATGGCAGTCAGGCCAACAGCATGGCATCGTTTCCGGGGTTTCCCGAGTACATTGCCCCTGTCTAGGAAACATTGGAACTCTGTGGTAAAAGTGATGTCACACCGTCGCCCACATCCCAATGTTCCTGTCCCCCCAGGGATGCCAGCCTCCAGGTGGGACCTGGGGATCCCCTGGAATTTCAGCTCCTCTCCTGATGACAGAGAGCAGTTCCCCTGGAGAAAATGTCTGCTTCGGAGGGCGGACATTATGGCATCGTACCCCACGGAGGTTCCTGTTCTCTCCAGGATCCATCCCCAAATCTCCAGGGGTTCCCAACATGGATCTGGCAACCCACATCCCCCTGACTCATGTTGGTTGCTAGCAATGCTCCCTCTAAGCTGTGGAGTCTTGTGAGCAAAAAATCTACTTGGTGAGCTGCCGGCATTAATGTTGTGAGCCAGCGATTTGCCTGCTTCATAAGTTAGTTGGCTCTGGAGCCATCCCTTCCTGAGCTAGGACAAAAATGGGTGAGCTGGAGGCTAAAAAACTGTGAGCCGGCTCACACCGACTCAGCTTAGAGGGAACACTGGTTGCTAGGTAGGGCCTGGCAACCTTAGATATATGGCAGGGGTCCTCAACGTTGTGCCCGTGGGCACCATGGTGCCCTCCAAGACCTTTCCTGTTGCCTACCAGGTTTTTTAAAAAAGTTAGGAAGATGAAAACGTTAAATTCGAGCAGGAGGAGGAGGAAGAGATTGGATTTATACCCCGCCCTTCACTACCTGAAGGAGTCTCAAAGCAGCTTACCATCTCCTTCCCTTCCCCTCCCCACAACAGGCACCCTGTGAGGGAGGTGGGGCTGAGAGAGCTCTCCCAAGGACTGTCCTCGAGAGAACAGCTCTGAGAGAGCTTGTGACTGACCCAAGGTCACCCAGCGGCTGCACGCAGAGGAGTGGGGGATCAAACCCGGTTCTCCCAGATTCGAGTCTGCTGCTCTTTAAGCACTACATCGAACCGGCTCTGAGCTGGTTTTTATACTCCGCCTTTCTCTGCCCCCGAGGATTGTCAAAATGGCTTACCAAACGCCTTCCCTTCCTCTCCCCAAAACAGGCACCTTGTAAAGTAGGTGGGGCAGAGAGAGAATTTCCTAAGCAATATTGTAAGAGTTTTAATAGATACACAAACTGATGTTCATAAGAATCATTAAACATTGTAAGTTTTATCACAGTGTTTTCTTGTTTGATAGTATGAACCTGTAAGTGTGATCCCTTCTTTGGTTTATTCCTTTGATGGGGACAGGGGTTTGCCCACTTTCGAGCCCCCAGATCTGCTGGCCCCAATTCGGCTGGCGGGGGAACCCCACCCCCAAAGTGCCCAATTCCCACCAGTGCATCCGGAGCAATGACGTCACCTGGAGGTGATGTCATCATGCAGGGCACATTGCAGAGGGGGACGCTCTGTAACACAAGAAAAAAAACCTCTATGTTTACCATAGAGTTTTTCCTTGAATGATAGCATCCCCCGCAATGTGCCCTGCACGATGATGTCATCTCTGGGTGATGTCATTGCGGCGTGCGTGCTTGGTGCATGCTGAAGAACCCCCAGAGAAGGACTGGGACCCCCCCACACACACACAGCAGCAGCCAGAGTCCATATGGCTGGGGGTTCAGGTGGTGCAAGCCCCCCGAGAAAATTTTGAAATCTGACCGATGACAGGGACACTTTGAGGCCATACGAAATGGGAATGGGAGCCTATTCTAAGGTCAATATTAAGCACTTCAGCCTATTGGCTTATGATTCTGTCACTCAAATAGCCTTATTTGAGAGCCAGTTTGGTGTAGTGGTTAAGTGCGCGGACTCTAATCTGGGAGAACCGGGTTTGATTCCCCACTCCTCCACTTGCACCTGGCTGGATGACCTTGGGCAAGCCGTAGCTCTGATAAGAGCTGTCCTTGAAAAAGAGCAGTTTCTGTCAAGAGTTCTCTCAGCCCCACCTACCTCAAAGGGTGTCTGTTGTGGGGAGGAGAAGTTATTATTATTATTATTATTATTATTTTAATAACAAACACTTAAAAAAACCTCTCCCGTCAATTTTGTTGAAAAATTCACTCATTAAAAAATAGTTGCTTTGGGGGCCCTCTAGGATTAGGGGCTCTGAAGCTTCATTTGTTTCATGGTAGATCCGCCCCTGTCTTTGTCAGGAAGCCAGGCTTGACACACTGGAGAGAGCCACCCGTAAACTCTGTGGCCCCGGACACACGTGCCAGAGAACACGGGGGGGGGGGGCTTTGCGCTGCCGCATTTTGATCCGCCTCCAGAGAAAACGGGGGGGGGGGGACTTGCGCTGTCGCATTCTGATCCGCCATTATGCGATCAGACGCGACAGCGGCGCACCAGTGTTTCGTCCTTTGGTGCGCGCGGCAAAGAGGACGGCCGGAGGAAATAGGCACACGGCGGCGCGATCACACCGAACGAGTCCGTCTGCAGCCCGTGGCAAACCATTTACTAGTAGATCTTTGCAGGTGCTTTTAACTGCGCATCTTTGGCGGCACGCCACGGGTTGGCCGCGGGCGCGCTACGCTTCCCAGATGTTGCAGTGTGATCGCGCCCTGAAAATCCGCCCAGCATTCGTGCCTTTTGCACAGCAAATTCTCCGTGTGACTGGGGCCTGTATATAGTGTCCACCTTCATGTGAATCCCCCCCCCCACACCGAACTCAAAATCATGCCGGATGCCTCCATTCTGGGGGGGCACTTCGTTAGGATGCGCTGCAGAGATCTGGAACGCCCTCTGGAACACCGTCTGGAATACCAGGGACAAAGTGTGCTTTGCACACGAAAGCTCATCCCACGAATAAAACTTTGTTGGTCTTAAAGGTGCCGCTGGGCTCAAGATTTTGTTCCTCTGGAACACCAGTAGAGGGAGCCCTTTCAAAAGCGATCAGTGCCTTGTGGGCTCTTGCCATTTCCTTTGGCCTTTTGCTTCACCATCCAGGATCTGCAGCCAAAATTGTCTGAGTCACGTTGAAAACCCCAGAGACGGCTGACCTTTAAGTAAAGGAGTCGCCCTCTTTGAAGTTGGCTTGGGACACCTTCCCGAGGAGGAATGGGTGGAGGCCTAGGGGCCTTCTTTAGTTGTAAGAAATGATGGGGTGGGGTGGAGGGATGACTTGAGTTCACAGAATTATGGACGGGCCCAAGAGAGAGGATTTGCTCTCTCTTATAATAATCGGGGCAGCCGAGGAAATTTGGTACCAATTCCGAGCAAAAAGTACTTCTCTGGACAACACAGTTTTGCCATGATCAGGTATTGTCTCTTGAAAAAAGAATTAGAGAAGAAGAAGAGATTGGATTTATACCCTGCCTTTCACTACCCAAAGGAGTCTCAGAGCGGCTGACAAACTCCTTTCCCTTCCCCACAGCAGACACAATGTGAGGTGCGGGGGGGCTCAGAGGGAGCTCTTTCGAGAACTGCTCATGAGAGGACAGCGCTGAGAGAACTTGTGACTGACCCAGGGTCACACCAGCAGCGGCATGTGGAGGAGCGGGGAATCAAACCCGGTTCTCCCAGATTAGAGTCCGCGCACTTAACCAGTACACCAAACTGGCTCGGCCAAACTGGCTCGGCCAGGGAATGTTTGATTTCACTATAAGTCAGAGGCCCTATTACTGACAGCCATTCTTGACACAAGCTGTATACGTGTTCTTTAGTACCGGATCCGCTAATAAACAGTTATCTTCTTATGAAGCCCTATGTGGTGTGACCTGACTAAGGAGCCTGACAACAATTACTATACTGCTGTCCCAGGGAGAGAGAAGGGAGGCAGAGGTAGCAGATCTATATGGATGGGAGTTCTCCCGTCCTCTTCCATATGCTTGGTGGTATATCTCTGTCTTACAGGCCCTGCGGGACTTGTACCAAATCCTGCAGGACCCGGATCTCAGACAACCGACAGACAACCGACATACATACATACATACATACATACATACATACATTCCTTTGGATCTTTCACTTTCTCCTGAATCAGCTGCAGTTCCTAACTCACAAATTGGCCCCTCCGCCCCATTAGCGCCTGACCTTTAGTTTCTGGTGGGTCAGCAGCATTAACTGCAGCCCCAGGAGTGACCTCTTCTCTCCCCCTCCCCCCTTCCCCTTCCTGAAGCTGAGACATTCTTTTCTCATTCTTTTCATTCCCGTTGTTTCCCTTGTTTTGTTTCAAACCTGCGG